TATATAGGTATCCATGTGTGCATCTGATGCTTCAAAGGCTTTGTGCAGGTATGCAGATTTTGTCTTTATTAACTGATTTGTTGTTGGTGATGATGAGGATACAAGAAAGTTACAGCTGGGAGAGGGCTGGACCAGGTCTGGCCTATCATTAGGCAGGAAGAGGAAGCAAGAGAATCAAGAATCATATACAGTATGATTCTCATATCTGCAGGGAATATTTTTCAAGACCTATATATGCCATTTGGATTCCTGAAACGCTGGATAATAGCAAAACCTATACCTGTGCTAGAAGCGTATCATAGAACTACACTGGAGGATTTAGAGAGGCCCACAATACTTCCAGAGAGTAATTTGGGGGGGGGGGGAACAGGTTAGTGAAAAGGTTGTATACGTGCTATAGGGCCTACCTTGCGCCAACCGAGGTGATAGCCCTCAGTGGGATAGCAATGTATGATAGAAGTTGGGATGGAAATGCTGACAGTACAAATTGGGTTTGTGTATGTAGAACTGGAGGAGGGTATCAATTGTCTGAGGCACCGATCTGGACCCCATTCCCCCACCCCATACATTCTATGTTTGAGACAGGATAATAAGCATCAGGTGTTCTTGGTGTCCATTGGATAATGCTCCTGCCAACATACATGGATCATGGGTTAGAAATGTTTTGGAGTTTTAACGCTGATTTTAAAAGGCAGGAAAAAGTATAGTTTCTTCTGCTGTTGAGTGTTTATATCTGAAGCTGTTTTCATGACTTCTATGGGTCTCTGAAACTGTCCATGCTGAACAGGCACCATGGTGGCTTTACCAGGGAACTCCTATTGTCCAAACAGGCACGACCTTTGCCCTGCTTTTCTGGAAGAATGAGATGTGTATATGAAAGCAATGCTGAGTGTGTCAGCCATTCTAATAGTGATGCTACTAGACCCGGAAGTGGGGAATATACGATCCAAGAAACCTTGGCTACAGTGTCCTTAGGTCTGCAAGCTGACACAGGCAATGCTGATGGATGGTGAGCACTGCAACCTCTGAAAGGCCATGTGATGTCCCATTTCTGTCAATAGATGAACCACACTAAGCAAAGCAAGTGCAAAATCGGGGGTGCTGTGTGGTTTCCAGGCTGTATGGCCAAGTTCTAGCAGCATTTTCTCCTGCATCCGTGGCTGGCATCTTCAGAGGATCTGAAGTGCAAAATCAATTAAATTCCATAGGAGCATAAGACAGAATAGTATAGCTACCAATGGAGGGGGGTCGGCTACTAAAGAGGAATGCCGTCCTTGAATGCTGCCATTGCTGGTCCAGGGGTGGGTGTGTGGTGGATGGGAATTGCTACACTGAACACTAGACAGACATCTCTGTTGCTGCCAGTGTGTGCCAGTTGCCTCTTGAGGGAGCTGTTGCTTCTTTTTGCCACTCTGAGAAGATGCGTAGTGAATGGAGATTGAACTGCTTGCTGTAGCACTGATCTTCCCCTTGGTGGAATCGGCTTCAGGTTTTGGCCAGCAGAGAACATTTAAAGAAGGAGGGAGCTTTTATGTTTGCGATCAAAGATGTTCTCAGCACAGCAGTCTCCTCATGATTGCCAGCAACCCTTCCTTCCCACTCCATATGCATAAGTTGCAACTCTTCTGGAATCTGAAGGCACCTGGTTTCCTCTTCCACCTGGCCGTGTGATAGCCCAGTTATTCCCCCCCCCACGCCACCCCTCTTGTAACTCACAAGAGACAAGCTGACTGATCCCAAGTATTGTTTACCTAAGAGTTTGCCACTTGCATCCCCCAGAAATGCAAACCTTCCTTTTTGACAGGAGACTATTATTAGATTTGCACACTTCAGCGTAAAGTTGTGCTTCCTACTAGGATTCTTCTGCTTGGGGGGAAAGTGGTTGCTTGGTCAGAGTTCCTGATCTTGGTGACTAATGCTCTGTTGGTACTGTCACTAGTTTGTTTCTCCATATATGGCCCTGCCTGAGCTTTGTGCCGTTTCCCTTTCTTTCTGAGAACTCCCCCAGAGTTGCCTTTATATGGGCTTGGGCTGATTGGGCCAGTGGCCACAAGGATTGGCCTCTCCGAGCCCAGGGCTCTGTCAGTGAAGCCGCCTCTAGAGGGTGTGCTCAGGCATGTTCATTCACTCTCTCTGTGCGCCTTCAAGTCCCCTGTCAGCTTATGGCAATCTCATGAATAGCTTAGTTTTCTTAGGCATGGACAATTCAGAGGTAGCTTTGCTAGTTCTTTCCCCAAAATATAGACAGTGCCAGGCATGTAGCCGGGGGGAGGGGAGGGGGCTTGAGGGGCTTCAGCCCCCCTCCCCCAAATTCTCAGGGTGGTCTGTGAGAAGGTCTTACTGGTACATTATTTAAACAGTTATGTTTATTCATATCATGATCTGATCACCATGCTCAAAATATCCTATATGCATGGGGGTATTGGGATAACGATACAAAAGCTTCGCTAGGGTAGATCCTCAGCCCCCCCCCCGAATCAAACTCAGCCCCCCTCAAATCAACCCCGCCCCCCAGAATCAAAATCTTGGCTACAGGCCTGGACAGTGCCAAGTATTTCTTATTGAAATACTAACCAGGACTGACCCAGCTTAGCTTCCAACATCAGACGGGATCTGCTGTCTTTAAGCATAAGACTTGGAAGAGACCATAAAAGCCATCCAGTGCAAGTCCTATTCATACACAGCACAAAAGAGAAGTAGTTAATTCATTTCTGCTCCTGTATGCTGCATTATATGCTTTCAAGCTGCCTGTATACAACCCCATTAATTTCATTGGGTTTTCCTGTGCAAATATTCAAAGGTGGGTTGTTGTAGGTTTTTTGGGCTGAATGGCCATGTTCTAGAAGCATTCTCTCCTGACATTTCACCTGGTTGTGAGATCTGTTGTAAACTAGGAAAATAGTTTATTTATCTATGGAAAGTCCAGGCTACCAGTATTGGCTACCAGTGTTAAAAAAAAACCCTCTAAAATTATAACAGTAAATAAAGAACAAAACTCAAACACAGGGGAACTCAAGAGAAAAAACAATCAGGAACAGCTAATCACCTTTCAACAAAGGATTCCCCCAGGCAGTAACAAGCCACACCTAAAAACTGTCAGGCCATCAAATGCTAATCAAGGTGGCCAATTGAAACATTCACACCTAGCTCCAACAGACAAGAGTTCTTTTTCTCACTCTGGACTTTCCACAGATATATAAACCCGATATTCCTAGTTTCCAACAGATCTCACAACCTCTGAGGATGCCTGCCACAGATGTAGGCGAAATGTCAGGAGAGAATGCTTCTAGAACATGGTCATACAGTCCAAAAAACCTATAACAACCCAGTGATTCCATGCAAGCCTTCGACAATATATTCAAAAGTGGTTGCAATTGCCTCCCTCTGATGACAGCCTACAGCCCTGGTATTCTCTGGTGATCTCCTATCCAAGTACTAACCAGATCTAACCTCCATAATTTATCATATTTTGAAAAGCAATAAAAAGAATTCACTTACCATCTGACTACAGTTAGCCCTCTGTACCCACAGATTCTGCATCCCCAGCTCTTTATACAAGGGATGCCAATTTACAATGCCATCAGATATAATAAGACTTGAGCACCCAAGGTCGGGAGGCTATGGCACCAACCCTAGAGCATACCAAGGGGCCATTATATTTCGTACCACTGGTTGCTGTGGCAACTCTCACTTTAAATACCTAGTAGATAATACCCACCAGAAACCAAGGTTCATCAGTTAAATCATTCCAATAACCAGACAGACCCTGTGACTGAGCACCATCCTGACCACCTTCTCTGACAGGTCTTTTTTTCAGGTCAGAAGAAGGAGGCCCCAGTAACAATAGCAGTGGTGGGTAACCTCCATGGGTCTCCAATTGACTACTTGGAAGACTTCCCTCACCCTGCTTAATCTGGCATCACAGAATTCTAGTATCTGATCGCCTGCTTCCTCCAGTCCACAGTACGGAAACCTGGACAATTAGACAATCTTCCAGACAGAAGTTTTAGCTCTGAAATAGGATTTAATCTTCCACCCTATAGTTACACCTGTGATTAGATTGTAACTCCCACAGCCTCTTACATTTCATTGTCCTTGTTGGGATTGATGGGATGTGTAAGACTTTTTTTAGGGTCTATGGTTCCAAGGCTGTAGGCTATAAGGTTCAGAGGGTGTATGTTGCGGGAATGTGCAATGCTCATCTAAATGGCAGATGATAATGCTGATGGAAGAATTCCCTGGCAAAGAAGCGCTGACAGAGAAGCCAAAATATGGGGAAGAAGACACTAAAATGGTGCTAACACTTGACTGTGGTTTGGGTTGACACCGGTCCCACCAAACTTGGTGCAAAGAATTAATTCCCTACGGACATTCAAGCAAGGCAGAGGATTTAAAAACAAGTGGTGCTGCTTCAGCAAGCTCTCTACTCATATATTCAGAGCCTAGAAAAACCAAAACCTCGGCTTTATCGAGGAGAGGTTGGGAGGAAATAATAATAATAATAATAATAATAATAATAATAATAATAATAATTAGATACACCACAAGATTAGTACACAGCAGACAAGATCACTATGCTGGCTTTTGTATTGGATACACATCGGATACTTTCCAAGTGTCTAGGACTGTGTGATGTATCGGTGAATAATGCATGCAGATCCAAGAAGAGTGGCCTCTTGCAGCTGACAGATGGTAATTTTGACAGTACCAATTGTTTTTAATTGTAGACCAAGGTTTTAGGCACTGCAGCCAGTGTGCCGATCACCACTGGGACCACCTTTACTGGCTTTTGCCAGAGTCTTTGCAATTATTATTATTATTAGGCTAATGGGCTGACACTGGCTGATAGAATTAGAGGGTCACATTGGAAATGCAAAACTTTCTTAAGGTCCCATAAGAACTAACTGCTTAGGAGAGAAGCTCTATCATCTTGTGCTGGATGATAGCATGGTAAATAAGACATTCCCCAAAGCTTTTCAAGAACCTGTGCACTGTAAAGCTCTATCTATTTTCTTAATTTATTTATTTTAAAACGTCATACACTGTGCCATCATCCAAAAAAAAAAATCCACCCTAATTTCAGAGCAGCATATACAAATATTCAATACATTAAAAACCTCTATGAGTGATTTACCCAAGTATTCTGCTTTATGGTCATTGTGACAACTACAGCAGTTATGTGTAAAGTGCAGGTGTGTTCCAGTTATATGGAGGTTTTCACAGACTACCTCAGTATGCTTCAATCCCTCTCTCTCTTTTTTTAAAGCTCTGTACTTGGGTGGAAGTGCCAAAGGCCTGTGAGACTGTTTTTCCTTCATCTTGTATTTGTGGAATAGTAGAATATCAACCACTTATCTTTGGAAGCTATGAATTCTCCCTCACCAGCACAAGAGTCTGTGTGTATATCTCTCCTTTTTAATGATTGTCATAGTCACAGTCATATTAAATATTTAATACATTAAATTAAAAACGTGACAAAACCTCCCTGCCTATCCCAAGAAAGGAGCCCTGCCTCCAAGGTATTCTATGGGAGGACGTGTAGCTTTGGTATTAGATCAGGGCCAGCACCACTGTAATACCAAGAGGAAAATTCAGAATGGAGGTGCCTTCTAGAAAGCAAACTGTGCACAATACGCAGAAACCTAAAAACAAGTTGACAAGTGTTCACAGTGCTTTGTTTGTTCAGGCCCATCATCCTGGAACCAAGATTTCTCTCTTGCCAGGACTGTGAGAAAAGGAAGATCAGGCACCCTCCAGCATTCAAGAAGATGAAAACAGTGCATGTGTGGCCCAAGCCATATCAGAGTGCAGTAATGATGGCAAAATGTTAATGAGGAAGAATACACACACCAGGAGAGGCTGCAGTAGTTCTGCTTTTGTCAGGAATGACCAGGGAGGACAGGTTTCTGACCCCTCGTTTCTGCTCCCTTCTGCTGAGTTATGTGAGCACAAATTGCTTTTGGGTTATGAATTCTGTTTGCAGGAGTTGAAGCGAGCTGAGGACAAAAAAAAAAGTGGGACAGAACAGGATTAACTGGGACTGCCTGTGCCAAAATGGAACACCTGGAGGATATTCAATATGGGAAACTATGTCTATAGCAGGGAAGACGGGAGGGAGCACATGGAACAGGAAACGCCATTGAGGCAGCTTCCTTCCTCATCTTTGGGTTATTTGTGGAAGGGATAGAGAATGTGCAGGTGAGAGGATAAGGTGTTTATGACTCCAAATCACTAATCACACTGGAGAAAAAATCCACTTAAAATCCAGTTTCTGTCTCCTGCAGAATTCTGGGTTTTGTAGCTTAGGGAGGAGCCTTTAACAGCTTCACTAAACTACAAACCCCAGAATTCTGCAGGAGGCAGAAACCAGATTTTAAGTGGATTTTTTTCTCTAGTGTGATGAAGTGCAGTCAACTAATTTGGGCTGTGTGTAAAGGCCAGCAAGGCTTTGTGACAGGACTGGAACTCTGCAAAACATTTGGGAGTCTTGACAGTCCCAGGCAGGGCTCCCCAATACTCCCTTCCCAATCTTCATAGGGAAAACCTGTCTAGAGTTTGGGAACATGGCCATTCTGGTTGAGGAGTTTTGGGCATCTTCCAAAAAAAATGACTTAGGGGCTTTTCCCCAACCATTTTCCCTTCTTCCAGATTCTTGTCAGAGCCTTCAACCTCTGCCAAGTTTTTTTTAGCCCACGCAACTCTTTGTGGCGGCACCACCCCATGGAAGTGGTTTGTTCCTGAACTGCATCCAGCTTCTACTGCATCCTGTGGCCTTCATGCACCTCTGGGGCAGCGGAGAAGGAAAGTGCTAAGCCCCACAGAAATATAACACATAAAAGAACATGGCTCACAATGTCTGATGGTTAAGTGATGGAATTACTGGAACTACGGCTCTTGGTGACAAAAAGGAACTCCTTACAGCACAAGAGAGTATGTCAGATGAGATGCAGCCCCAGACTGAAGATATTGGCAGAGCAGGGAATTAGCTGGCTTTCCTCTCCTCCAGGTTTAAGGTTGGGGTGGACTGAGGCTCTTAAGTCTACATGAGGCCCAGATCACTTTGTATACAGTGAGAATGGATGGTTCCTCTCAGTGTCCCTTTTGCACCTTTAGAATCCACAGGAATTGTGTTTTTGTTTTTTTTCCTGCCCAGCAAATGGAATGAGACTCTCAGTTTCAGAAATTTCCATTGCTAGATTACATATTGCCCCCTAAAGTAGACCATTGAAATAACATTAAGGTGAAATGTAGTTTGCTTTTTCAGCCATCCACTGAGAACTTGGAGATATATCCCACACACACAGACACAGACACACAGACACAGACACACACCACCCCTTCCCTGTGGATTCTGTTGGTGCTCCCTGATGTTTGCCACTTCTTCTTTTACACCTTTAGACAGGCTCTGAAGCAAATCCTTAAGACCAGCAGAAGTTGGATTCCCACACTGACAACACCTCCTGGAACCTGTAAGTGTCCTCCTCCCCTCCCCCGTCTCCGTCCTCCCTAGTCTGAGATGCAGGGCAGATGACACCTATGTGTCACTGCAAATTATCTGGAGTTTCAACAACATCAAGGAGGAAGCTGGCAGCTTTGTAACACATGACACTTCCAGGAGATGAGGATGGGCAAAGTGGTGGGAGCAGAGAAACCAGCCGTAGGCATATTGTGTTGGCTCTGACATGGGGCTTCTAATGCTTTGATCCTGACAGTTGTCTCCCTCTCATGAAGTTTTATTTGGAAGCAGCTTCTAAAGCTAGAGATAAATGACTAAAGGGAACAAGAAGGAATAGCCCAGGTCTCCTCACCCGTATGGGGGCACTGGGAATATTATAAACCGTTCTGGAGTCCATGTGGGGAGCACTATGTGTCCCCTCTACTCCACCCCTCTGTCCACCATGAGCTGTCTTGGCCCCCCATGAGCGGGGCCCTAGAGCATTTCTAAGGTGCTACGTGGCAGGCGTGGTAGGCAGGGGCTCAGTACTCCCAGAGCGTGGCGCGGTGCAAGGTCTCAGCATCAGCACGAAGGGTTCCAGCTTGGTCTCCTCTGAGGTATTTGCCATTCTTTCCTTTAATGGCCACACGGCTGCACTCACGGAACTCGAAAAAGAAATCCTCGGACATCTCGCCGTCACTGCACACTGTGCCATTGCTGGCCACGTACCAGAACCTGCCGCCAAGGCCTAAGAGCACCCAAGAGGCTGGAGTCAATGTGGTGCATATAAATTAACACAGATCAAGGTAGGCTCCCCTCCCCTTCCCTCCTTGGCTTAAAAGCTAATTTAACATTTCCCTCATAGTGTGGAATGCACAGAAATGAGTATGTTGAATTGAAGAGAACTTCAGTCTCACTAACACAGAGGATGAAAATTAGAGGTAGCAGTTTATGATATGATTAAAAACTAGTTTTTATGGGTAAAGGTAAAGGTTTTCCCCGGACATCAAGTCCAGCCATGTCTGACTCTGGGGGGTTGGTGCTGATCTCCATTTCTAAGCTGAAGAGCCAACATTATCCGTAGATGCCTCCAAGATCATGTGGCCGGCATGACTGCATGGAGTGCTGTTACCTTCCCACCAGAGCAGTACCTATTGATTTACTCACATTTGCATGTTTTCGAACTGCTAGGTTGGCAGAAGCTGGGGCTGAAAGCGGAAGCTCATGTTGCTTCCCAGATTTGAACCTGCGACCTTTTGGTCAACAAGTTTAGCAGCTCAGCACTGCGCCACCGGGGGCCTATGGGCATGTGTCTTTAATTATAGGATATGTACTATAGGGATTGAGGAATAAAACCATTGCTGTGTAGGGCTTCCCTGCCCATTGCTGTTTCCAGAAGAGTGTGGAGCAAAAGAATACGGGCATTGCCCCTCCAATGAATAATTCTGCCCTTCAACAGAATTTTCTTTTAATCCCCCAATATCTAGCATTGCAGGGTAAGGCAATGAAAACCATTCTCCTTTCCAACTCTTATTATTGATGTGTTTGCATTCCCTCTGTAACTATGCCTACTCTTGTTTCTTTGGATGCTGAAACTGTATTTCTAAATGCTCTACCCGGGCTTTAAGTTACTGCAATGCTAGAAATTTGGAGACAGAAGAAACATTTTATAGGAGGGACATAGAATTATGGTTTGTGAGGTGCTGCCTTCTTTCCCACCCCCATCCTACAGCTCAGTGGTTCCCAACCTTTGGTCCTCCAGGTGTTTTGGACTTCAGCTCCCATAATTTCTAACAGCTGGAAGCTGGCTGAGATTTCTGGGAGTTGAAGTCCAAAAAAAACACCGGGAGGATGAAAGGCTGGGAACCACTACTGTAGCAATATTCTCATTCCCTTTATTGTTCGCCAATGATATCAAGACCATACAGCAGAACTGATAGATGGCACCATCATAGAGACCAAACAGCTGTCCATGGCAAAAGAAAGCCAATAAAGAAGGTAAAACACACTACCCACCTCCTTGAAAGTATCACTGACAAGTTACAGTAGCTACATTCCCTGCTTTATAGAGCAGGAAGCATCCTTGAAGATGTCTATCAACCGTTAACACCCAGATCACAGACAACACTTATACTACCTGACTGAAAGTTATCTTCACTACTATGGTGAGCGTGTTGTATTTCTATTAACATTCTAGAAGTGATTTCCAAATTTGCCTCTACAACATCTGGTTAACGTAACATGTGTAGATTTTATGCAAATCTGTATTTTTTTGATCTAATAGGAGACTTCACCATCTTATTTTTACATAAACTGCTACCAAGTTCCAATCCACATATGCAAAAAACCCCAACATGGTATCTTTCTAAGATTACATTAATCCCAGGCTCCTTAGATGGTTTGAATGATTTTCATCATTTGAAGGATAAAAGAGTTTAAACCTATGGAAATGAGTTTTTTAGATTTTGAAGTATGGTGTAGTACATAAAACATATTAGATACTTTAGTAAAAGTGCTTGACAAGCCTGCAGTCAAAGCTGATCAGTCTATAAGGAATCGAAAGTAGTGATGTAGTAGAGGGCTGAAAGTCTTCCCATCAGGAAGTATGATGACACTGTGTCTCACCCTGTTCTAGCCCCCCTTATTTCCTCTAAATTTAGCTGTGGGGCTAGGGCTGGAAATATTCACTATATTGTTATGGGTTATCCCTGTTCTAATGCAATGTAGTTTGGGTTGGGCTGGCCATTTATGGACAATTAAAGCTCTTATCTTTATAAAGTATCTGCTTCTAGGATAGGAAAACCACTAGAACTAACTGGTTGTTATGGTTCAACATACCTGCCTGCATTTCTGGATTTCTCTTGGCCTTAAACAACTGACTGCATTTCAGAATGTATCAGTGCACTATTAAGATCTAAAGCATATTGGGTGTGAAAGTGAAATTGGAAGCTATGTGAGAAGTTGCCATAGAGGTTAGACATACACAATGGTGTTTCTGACCGCTATGGAGGGACTCCACAGCTGTGTCTATAGCTGGAAAATAAATGTTTTCAGCATTCATTCAACATATGGTCCCAGATTACTCCATGATGTTAAGAATGACAGAATAATTCTCACCTCCCACCAGTTCCCTTTTTTGTGCTGCCAGTTACCTTTGATCTGATAAGCACCATCATTGAAGATGATGTGGAAGACATCATAGACGGAACGGTTGGCATCCAACAAGTTGGAGTTGCGATGGTAACACACAAAGCCGTGGGTCCCACGAAGAACAAGGATGGGCCGGTTGATCAGCTTGAGAACAAATTCCTCATCTTCCCCTGCATTCAAAGAAGTGCTGGTCAGTAAAATCTGAGTCTAAAATTACTGGCTGGGAGTAGGAAGAGCTGCAAAATATGTGGTTGTGAATGCATTTGGATTAGAGTACCAGATTACTCTCCTAGTCTCATTTGAACTTCCAGGACTCAACCATTTGCTATCCTCAAGCTCACATGTTTGTAATCCAGTTTGTTTGTTTCTTCGATCCAGAGAGAGCCATAAGGTTAGGATATTGACTTTGGCAACCTGCCTGTCATTTTTCAGCCTAAAGGCTTCAGCCTATAAATCAGTGGTTTTCAACCTTTTTTGGATCAGGGACCACTTGACCAGGGAACACTTTGACCAGGGACCACACTCCAACATTAGTACCAAAAGGGTTATGAATCAGTTTTTGGTCAACTTTAGATTTGGTTTGATTATTTGGGGTGCTGATTCAGAAAATTGCATTGGATAGACCACATCAACTCTAGTTTCTGATACATATGCCATCCAGTAGTCGCCATCTGCTTACCCAAAGAAAACCGTATTTAATAAGCCTCGGCACTACAAGAGGATTTCATGAGACAGTCACTCTCATTGCAATGGTGAGGCTGCAGACCATATTATCGTTCTTGTGGACCACTGGTGGTCCACAGACCACAGGTTAGGAATCACTGCTATAAACGCTTAAGAGCCTGGCTCCTTGCCATTCTGAGGCAATTTGAAGCCCAGGAGTAACCCTCATTTTGAAACCAATATTTCTTTGGTGATAAAGGTGTGCTTGGATTGCAACTCCTATCAGTCTGAGATATCACAGTCATCCTGGGAGGTGCTTATAATCATCCGTTCTCCTCACCTTCAGAGTGAACTGGAGGAAATCCCAATAATTGTGTGTCTTAAGACTATCTTGCTTTGCATGTCACTACGCCCTTCTCAATTTCTGTGATTTCAGTCTTGGTTAGCCTATGACTAAACCATCAATTTCTCTAGCAAAAGGGTAATTTCTGCAAACTCTCAAATTTGTCTATTCTCCAAAGAGCTTTCCCTCCACTCACCCAATAGATCTTCTAGACCTCCACTTCTTTTCCTCCACTTCCTTTTCAGGTCTCTCGGGCTGGTTGCATTTCACAGCTTTCTCCCTTCTAGGTAGCTATCAAGAGCAGGAATTGGGCTGTGTGGCCTTCCAGTTATTATTAAGCTATAATTCAGTAAGGGGTACATAGAAGACCAATCTATGTTTGGTTCCTTCAATTCAGAGAGAGCCATAAGGTTAGCCATACTCAACGAAGCCTTAGCCATACTCAAAAATAGTGAAAAACGGTGGAATTTGTAGTCCAAAACCAACTGGACAGCCACATATTCCCCGTCTCTGGTGTTTATGGCTTGGACTTTTCTGGTCCTTGCAGCCACCATTTTCTGTAAGAAAATAGTAGCAAAGAAATAAAATTGAAGAACCTTACTTTGCATTGTGTTTTATAGTATGATTGGAATACTGGTCACCTGATAGGAGTTGTTGGACTCCCATTAGCCCCAGTTAGCATGGCCAGTGATGGAGGCTGTATAGTATCCAGCAAAATATGAAGGGTCACAAGTTTTACATTTCTGCTTGACAACAGCCTGTCTGGTTGTAAGACTTACCGACTGCATCACTGACAGCTGCCAGTTGTCCATTCTTCTTGGTGCAGATATATTTACCATTGCCAGCTTTGAGGGCTATGCGGCGGCCACGCCACTCAATGTCAAACATAGTGCTGGCAGATCTAGAGGACCAAGGAAGAGAAGCATTCGAGATGAGAACCAGAAAAGGAAAAAAAGCTGATGCCCTCACCCACAAATACTGCTCTGACTTATTTCATAGGTGTGAAGGCTGCAATGCTGCACATAGTGACCACAGGACCCATGTGTATAACAATCAGTTCAATTTACTTCTTCATAAAGTGTTAACACTCTCCTCAGCAGAGTGTTAAGATCTGCCAGGGAGGCCCTGCTCTCGATCCCACCCCCTTGCAGGCACAATTGGTGGGAATGGGAGACAAGGCCTTCTCAGTGGTGGCTCCTTGGTTAGGGAATTCCCTTCCCAGTGACATTAGACTGGCCCCCGCCTTCCTCACATTCAGGAAAAAGTTGAAGACCTGTCTATGGCATCAGGCGTTTGGGGAATAGCATAATATGGAATGTAATACTAACAATGACTATGGGTCTGGGCACTATGTTTTTAATTTTTTTTAAATTGTATTTATATATTTTTATCTGTTTTGATTACTCTTTGCATTAGTTCAGATCAAGTCACATGAAGACCAGAGTCCCTGAATCTCATCTAACCAGAAAGCTCAGTCCAACCCCCTTCCTTTTTTCATGTGGCAGATGAAATGTACTGAAGTTCATTTGGATAAAGCAACTTTTCTGTGCCATCTTTACCCTCTTGGTTAAATACATTCCTGTTATTTTATTCTAATCTGCATTTGTTCAGGTTTAACCTCCAATCTTGTGTTCATTTTTTTTGTATTAAAGTGTATTTAAGTACTTCCAGACAGCCTGTTTAAAACAAAAAGCAAGCTTTGCTATACATTAAAAGCAAAGGAAGGGAACAATGAAATGAATAATAGAAAAACTGTGATAGGATCACCCATGGTTTGAAAGAATGCCAAATTACCCTGAGTTCAAACAGCTTTGCAGAGGGGACAAATTAACTGAGGTTGAGGTCATGATGGCTTGTTGTTGCTGCTGTGTACCTTCAAGTCATTTCCAATTTTTGGTGACCCAAAGATGAACCAAACACAAGGTTGTTTGGTTCTGAGAGTGTGTAACATGCCCAGGGCCAGCCAGTGGATTTTCATGGCCAAGCAGGGAGGGGGGTTGAACCATGGTCTCCAGAGTCACAGTCCAGTACCCAAAACTGATAAGAGGTTTTCTTCGAAGTTCAGCTTGTGGGTCATAACCCTCATTGGATAATTCACCTGGAATTCCAGGTGGATTATAACACTATCACCATACAAATTTCTGTTTTTTAAAAAATATTAGGAAATAGTTCCTCCAATGTATATTACTTCCAAAGGGTGGATCCCTGGTCTGAAAAGTCCAGAAACTAGACTGCTAATCCAGAACCCCTTCAATTGTATGTGCACTTTCCCTTGGAACTCACTGCAGTTACCAGATGATATTTCACAAACAGGGGATACCAAGCCTTAATTATTTTAATTTGTTTAAATAATTTTCTACTAAATGTAATGGTCTTAGATTCTAGCAAATATATGAAAAAATATACATCTGGAAAAGCTGTGCAAATTATATTCTCTCTTTTCTTGAAGATAGGCACAAAGAAGTACTTTTCCCATGGTACACAAACTAGGAAATTGGCTATTAGAAGATGGAGAGACAGCTACTGATTTACATGGTTTTAAAAAGGATTAGGAGTGTTCCTAGCAGAAAGGGTTATGGATGGCTGCTCCCTCTGCTGGTTCTCTGTTACCTCCAGTGTCAGAAGAACAATATGTTTCTGTACCAGCAGCAGGGCACAATCATGTCATTGCCTTTGTGTCCTCTTTAGTTGGTCATTCTGACCAGTATGCTTGACTGCATAGGCCAGAGGTGGGCAATGAGCAAAGCTCTAGGTAGGCCCCAGGGATATTTTGTGACTCTAAGTTGTATTTTCTTTTTGCAACCATAGCTCAATACTTCAACCTCTGCATCAAACTGATTCCTTGAATACTTTTGGGCCCTGCCAAAGAAACAAGGTGGGCATCGCTCAACTTACACTTCAGTAGCCATAGCTTGAATGCCCCCATGTGACACCAAAGTCCAATAGTTGCCTGTGTTGGAATGGAAGATACACTTCTTGGTTTCTTTGTCAATCTGCATCTGGAAGGTTTCATGGTGTGTCTCTTCATCCTGATTGGCTGAGACGTTGACACCTAGAACGAAGGACATCCTTTCATATCATTTAGATTTGCTACTACACCATTCCCTCATCCCTGTTAAGGGCTCTGAGAGTCAATGTCAGGACCTACAAAAAAGGGTTCAAAAAAGGGTTTTTAGACCAGACACATGAGAGCAGCCACAGAGTGGTGATGATTAAATAATAGTTGCATGATTTTTACTAATGAAAAAAAACCCCTAAAAACTGTAAACAAAAGATTTATATTAAATAATGAGGCCTGGGAGGAAATGCAATTGCTTCAATGCTTTAAGAAGTAAGCTGAATTAATCATAGATTGAGGGCCATCGAGCTGGATCCAAGCCAAAGTGTGAAGCAAAGGGTTAAATTCTGTTTCCCTTCCAAAACCCCCACATTTCGGCATTGTTTTTCAGTAAAACCATGTGAGTGGTGTCGTGTTTCATTTGACCCTCACAAACTTCAAAAACTTGTCCATCTGACTCTTCATCCCCACTGCCTCATAATGCTTCTGTCCATCACAGTCACATGTTTACCAGGACTAAAGCTATTACACACAGATCCCCTGGCTTTATCTCACTCACCCTCCCAGAGATCCAGTGGTGTGAGTCATTCTCATCCCCATGTGATGGGTGGGATAAGATGTAGTGCTTCCCTCCAAGCCATTTGAGAGTCTAGAATAGTAGCCTTGAATCAAGGACAAACACTATTCTAAGCAAAAGCCATGTTAGTCCATGGCAGCAATGCAACCAAAAGTCTTGGGGCACATTTATAGCAGATGAACTCCATTCCAAAGATAGTAAAAGAAATGGCAGAACACATTTCAGAACCTCGTGTCAATCATCTTTGAGGATTCCTGGAGAACAGGACAAATTCCAGCAGACCAGAAGAAGACCAATGTTGTCCCCATCTTAAAGAAGGGAAAAAGTGGACCCAAACAATTACCACCCAGTCAGCCTGACATCAATATCAGGAAAGATTCTGTAGAAGATCATTAAATAGACAATCTATCAGCACTTCAAAGAAATGCCATACTTATATAAAGTCAACATGGGGTTCTCAAAAGCAAATCATGCCAGATCAACTTTATTTCTCTCTCTCTCTCTCTCTAAAATAGAATTACCAGTTTGGTAGATGAAAAGGAAGCTATGGATGTACCATATCTCGATTTCATTAAGGCCTTTGATAAGGTTCCCCATAACATTCTCACAAAGAAGCTAATAAAGTGTTGGCTAGACAATGCTACTGTTAGGTGGATAGGGAATTGGTTAATCAGTCAAACCAATGGCTCCTCCTCATCCTAAAGACCAGTGGGATGCCCAGTGCGATTCAACATCTTTATCAATGACTTGGATGATGGAGTTGAAAGCAGGCTTTTCAAATTTGCAGATGACACCAAACGAGAAGGGATAGCTAATACTTTGGAGAACAGGATCAAAATCCAAAATCACCTAAATAGATCAGAGAGCTGGGTCAAAACTAACAAAATGAATTTCAGTAGGGAGAAATGTACAGTACTAGATTTGGAAAACCAAAATGAAATGCACAGATATAGGATGGATAACATCTCGCTTGAAAACTGTCCATGTGAAAGGGATCTAGGGATCTAGGAGTCTTTGACTCCAGTTGAACATGAATCAACTGTGATGTGGCTGATAACAGCCTTGAGTTGCCAATTGGCTGAGAAAGGCGGTAAATAAATAAATAAAAAAGCCAATGCCATTCTAGGCTGCATCAAGTATAGGAAGCCCCTGATGGCACAATTGGTTAGGGTTAGGGTTGTGCTGGCAGGACTGCTGACCAAAAGGTTGGCAGTTCGAATCTGGGGAGTGGGGTGAGCTCCCATATGTCAGCTCCAGCTTCTCGTGCGGGAGAAGCCTCCCACAGGATGGTAAAACATTTGGGTGTCCCCTGAGCAATGTTGTGACTTGCAGTTTCTCAAGTTGCTCTTGAGTATAGAGGAGTATAGAGTCTGGAGGACTTTGGTCAGACCTCACCTAGAATACTGTGTCCAGTTCTGGACACTACAATTCAAGAAGGATGTTGACACTGGAACAAGCAGAGGAGGGTGACCAAAACAATCAAAGGTCTGGAAACCAAGCCCTATGAGAAGCGGATGAGGGAGCTGGGTAGGTTTAGCTTGGGGAAAAGGAGACTGAGAGGGAGCATGATAGCCATGTTTAACTATCTGAGTGGATGTCATATTGAGCAGGAAGTAAGGATGTTTTCTACTGTTCTGATATGGAGGTGGATTCAAATTGCAGGAAAAAATATTCCACTTAATTGTTAGGAAAAACTTCCTGACAGTAAGAGCTGTTCAACGGCTCCAGATGTAGTGTGTTCCTGCATGGCAAAAGGGGGTTGGACTGGATGAGCCTTGTGGTCTTTTCCAATTCTAAGATTCTACAATTCTATGACTGATACGTTTATTACAGCACAAGATTTCATAAACTACAAGTCACTTCTTAAATGTATGGAGTATAATATTAAGATTATATCCCATTTATTTGTGCAATAATATCTCTGCTCATATTATAAAAAAATGTTCAGACAAAAGCAAACTGCTGCTTGTATGCACTTCCTCATTAACAGCTTTTGTCATCTTTACCATGCTATAATGTGGCTTGACTTTATGTGTCCCAGGTTTGGGAGATATATATTTAAATACAATGAAATGTTTACGTTATTATGAGTGGAATGGAATGGAACGAATACCTTGGAAAAGGAATGTTTACCTCTGAATAGAAGGACTCTATTTTCTGATATTTTGTTGCTGGCTCCAATTTTCCATCTTTTAAGAAACACTTAAGTCCTTCATTATCTAATTCCTTTTTTACTTAAGGTGTCCAGATAACTAGCCAAGAAGGTATAACTTTCCCCCATCTGTATATTGCATTCACACATTTAGATGAGAAGAAACCATGCTGATCAAATGTCCACAAGTTTCATATATCTAGCCTTACTGCCATGGAAAGAAGCCAAGAGTGAGCCATTTCCAGTGTTACGAAAATATGTGAACAAACCCAAAGAGCTCTTTTGTTCCTCAAATGCAGTGGTTCCTAACCAGTGGTCCATGAACCACCAGCAGTCCGCAAAAACTAAAATATGGTCCGTGACCTCACTGTTACTACACCATTGCAACAATAGTGACTGGTCTCACAAAACCCTCTTAGCATGCCAAGGCTTATTAAATATGGTTTTCTGTGGGTGGGCAGATGGCGATTACTGGATGGCATATGTTCTGTATCAGGAACTACAGCTGATGTGGTCTATCCAATGCAATGTTATGAATCAGCACCCCAAATAATGAAACCGAATCTAAAGTTGACCAAAAACCGATTTGTAGCCCTTTTGGTATTTATGTTGGAGACTGATCCCTGGTCAATGGTCCCTGGTCAAAAAAAGGTTGGGAACCACTGATCTACTGGAAGATGTAGAAGTAGGAACTTTCCAACTGATTACATTATCCCAGTGCACTGGCTGACCATCTCCATCAACTAACTACCCATTCTGACATCTGATCTCCAGAGAACTACTTTGGACTTTGTCAACTTTGGGCTTCCACCACTGGCCACTCAAGCCACCAAAGATTGACTGGAAGCCATGAATTACATTTTATTTTCCCTCTGTCCCATTCCCACTTGCACTCTCTGGCTGAAACTACTTGTGACACAGGGAATCCATAACTGGATCTCCCAGTGTTTTCATGTTTAATTAAAGAGGCTTCAAGTGACTCCAATTTTTATCAGAGCAGCAGTGACGGGATGTATACGTTTAACATTTCACCACTTGCCAGTTTGCATCTAATTGCCTCCCAAATCAGCCGTTAGCTGTATGGGGCATACTGTTGCACAACAGAGTATTACATAAATAACCTCCCCCTGTATGATCAAAAACATAAGCTTCCCCTGGATGCTTCAAAGTTAAAGCAAAGGTATAATTGTAGGTTTTCTACATCTTGCATCATTTCATCTATGCAATATATGCAAATCGGCATAAGACAAATTCAGCAGCAGCAGCAGGACACTCCAGGAACAGAAGGGTGTGTAACCATGTATATGTGCACACGTATTCACATGCATATATTTTACTCTGTAGAATTATATGTATCGTGACTCCCGTCTTCATTGCTAAGAGGACTGTAGGATCACAGTAAAAGGCTGGCTAGAGCGTTGATATGTAGCCCTTGTCCTACCCAGAAGGCAATTTTGCTTGCATGGGATTGGAGCAACAGCAGCTTTTCATCATAAGCAAGGGAAGCAATCGGAGCCCTAATCGCCAGAAGTATGTTGTACCAACAGCTTGTCCAAGACTTCTTTTGTTCTCCTATAAAATCTAAGACTCAGTTTATCCCAGGCAGGCAACAGGATCATGCCTATTCAACACAGCGTACCCTGGGCATTTTGTCTGCACAAAATGTCTCTCAGCCATCACACTGGTGATGCTTCGTATGTTTTCAGTAACAAGCAACTAGAATATTCAACTACCAAGTTTGCAAAATTTGTGCTTTTTTTCTGTTTGTTTGTTTTGTTCTGTTAGAAATGTAATACAATGGTATGGTTGCTGATGACACGATAAATGAATAAACTAGAATATTATGGGTCTCCTTTTTTGAGGGTTGCCCATCTCATCCTCCATTTTTTGCAATGTACTCTTCAAAAAGCTGCTAATTTGTGAAACTTAGTTTTCTCTGAGTGGTAAAGTGTTTACATATCTGACACATTCTGGTATGACCTCCTGCTGTTTTAGTGTTAGACTGTGAAGTCTACTGTGGCCACAGTGGTCCATGCTCTCATTACATCCAGGATAGACTACTGCAATGCACTTTACATGGGGTTGCCTTTGAAGATTGTTTGGAAGCTTCAAATAGTCCAACGAGAGGCAGCCAGGTTAATAACTGGGGCGGCATACAGGGACCACACAACTCCCATGTTATGTCAGCTCTGCTGGCTGCCTTTTTGCTTCCGGGCACAATTCAAAGTGCTGGCTTTGGCCTATAAAGCCCTAAATGGTCCTGGC